TTGCATAAAGGCAGGGAAACTCTGTGCTTGTACCTGCTTTTCTGTTTGGATTGTCGTAGTGAATTTCCATTACAACAAACTTCACTGCCTGGGCGTCTCCAATAGGATAGCCAACGTGATCAGGAAAATAAAACTCCTGGAAATATAAAACGATTAGATTTAAAAAAACTTGACTCTATGTCCAAAATTGCACGTATTAAGAAATCATGCAGTTCTGTTTCTCAGGCAGACGAAGCAGGGGGTACTCCCCTATATTTGCTATACGGGTATGTGCCGGGCGATAGGTTCCCTTTTTCGGAGGGTATAGTCTCATTGTCTGGGGTAGGGTGGAGTTTTGCATGTGATCGTATCTGCTAGGCCAAGCTTCCAACGCTAAAATAATTTACCTTTGTACCTTTAGTCTGGGGTAGGGTGTGTAAATTAAAAAAATTGGTCTGGTATAGGGTAAGGGTTTTGAGGGTCGTGCGGCACACCCCCACCCAAGTTGGGGAGGTAGTACCCTAGCCAGATGGAACACCCTCTTTTTCACGGTTCATTTTTGTAGAGTCATAACACCAAAAGCTTTCCGCGAGCATGTCATTTTCATCAAACCAGTTAACATCATTGCAACGCTTCTACAAATCAAATTCCGAGCTAGTCGCATAAGAAGCAACTGTGCTGTTTACATCGAGCAAAGCATATAAAACTATGCTTTCAGATGTCTCATCAATGTCTCRTTGTGCTTACATTGCCACCTATAGCCCATCCTGATATGACCGACCTTCCATAGCATTCCCGAAATTGTCCAGGCATATTTCTTGACAGACAAAAGCCCTCAACGCTGAGATTAGAAACGGGAAAATCATCTTTACATCCATACACCAAAATGTGGTGAACCATACCTTCGTTACCAGGCGTGATAACAGGAGAGATCTATGTAAACAAAAACGGAAAAAACAACACAACGGTTCAGTATGATTTATTCTGAAGTATAGACGGGTATCCGAAGTATAGACGGGTATCCCTTGCAGTTTATATTTATATTAAAGCTCAATTCTAACACGCGCGCTGATTGGCAGATTTCATGAGAAAAGGTATACCAGGCTGCTGTCTCGCCTTACGGCTCGTAATTTACAGATATTTTTTCGTTTTCTCCCAACCATCCCGCGCGGTTTATTTCGCCAGTAAACCTCTTCAAGCTATCGTTTATTGCTTAAGTAACTCCATCTATTGGTCAAAACAATAGCGTTACTCAATGTGAYGTAAACCTTTGTTATTCATGTGCCAACCAGAAGACAATTGCCTGTTAKAACMAAGTGACTTGTGAAAAGYCATTCTGATCATGGTTGGCACATTAAACATAAGAATGAGTTTCTTGAGAAACATTATCTCTTTGAGCGGTATCACAGTTTATGTATAGTTTAAAACACGAACTCGAGTGTTTTAAACGGCTTAAAAAACGCCAACACTATTGAAACTCATACCATTAAAATTCTCGGAGAAATTGCCGTGAAAATAAGTTTTGAGATAAATGGGGCAAACTGGTCCACACGAACCGTAATTTGAGTATCTCGTAATTTGCTATGATTTGAGTATCGACTACATAAAAAAGCAAGACATTACATTATCAATAACAGACAATGCAAAAACTGCTTGTGCTGAACTTTGTACACCAAAAATTGTTGTATTGCGAACTCAAAGCTCAGAATGAGAAATCATTCAGGATTTATGAGATTTAGGTTTTGCTACGACTAAGGCAACTCAACAAGTCTGAGCAATTGATCGTTTTCAACCATGTCCATGAGATTCAAAAGATAAAAGACCTGCGGTCATGTTGGAGTAATGAATATTAAATACTAATCATGAGAAATCCTTTGTTAAAGTTCCTCCAAGATGGCCGCTGTGACGTAGCTTGAAAACGAAGGATTCTGCTGAAAAGCTCTGCCCCCCTAGGAAAGAACCGAATCCAAACAATCCTCCAAACTAAGGAGTCGCTATGCAAATGAATTCCTCCGCTGTAAATACTTACCTTGACGACGTGTTTCTTTGAACCGTTRAAATGAGGTAACTGGAATGGTTTGCAGTAATAGTAGGTGTCAATGTTTGGAATCGTTGTCTAGACAATTAAAAGAGAGTAACATTAGGCATGTTGTAAACGAGCAGGGTACTGGGTACCACATTATTATGGCTTAATTTTGCATCTATTAMCACGATAAGWGTTAAAATGATAGAAAGCTTTACGTTTGAATCAGCGTCGAGCTTTTGYCGTGTAGCAMRACTGGMGCTGCCGTGCCACGACCTAGCTACGGTCGCGCCGAGCTCAACTGATTCATACGTCGAGCTGTTCATGTGTTAAATTTGACGCTGATTCGACGTATGAAACGGGCCTAATAAGTATGAGGACTACAACTACCATCATGCTTTGCTGTTCAAAACGACGTCTTTGAACATTGACGATGTCAATATAACGAGCGATAATTAGAATATTCTAAAAACCAGCAAATGTATAAGAATTACTTACATTGACTCTAAATTCAAAGCTCTTTAAGTCGTTAGGCAGGGTTGGCTTTTTAGTTAAAATGTTAATTAGCACCAAAGATCTTGAGCCTCGAACAGTATGTTGAAGGATTTTATCGTCAGGATCATCGGTGTGATAGGAATATATCACACGTGTTGTTCCACCCTGGTGACAATAGAGAGAAATCACAACTTTCAAAAATGGCGCGATATGTCACGTCGTCGACCAGGGCACTGGGGACAAAGCACCTCCATGCTCTTTTATAACAGTGTTTTGCTAGGTTCATGGTYACCATTAGGGGAGGGAGAGCAGAATGACGACTGTAGAAACAAATGTACCTAAGCATTGATGTATGTGAAAAAATCAAAATCAAATTCCCACGTTTCTGAAAATTCATGCCCATAGTAAATATGCTTAGATGACGTCATTATGGAATAAATAAAGTCTTTTGTTTTGAGAGGGTAGCACGTAATAGTCCTTAGACTAATAAACTTGTGGCCCTCTATATATTCACTCACATTCACTACCTCAACATTCATTATTTTACTACACGACACTCCTCACAGCTAGTTTT